TTTAACTTTGGAGTTTTCATTCTAACGGAAACCTCGTTCCTTAACATCCAAGATTTTTTCCCCCAGCCTTCCCCCACACCCCCCAAAAATTCGTTCAGATTTTCTCGAAATTCTGTCATCGAAATAGAATATTTGTCAGTAAGTATATTATTATATTTTCATACTCGCGAAAGATAAAACGAGTGTATATATCCGATAGAAAGGTGACGGTGTAAACCGTTTTATACTTTCAGTATCATAGTTACCCACCACCGACGGGGAGAAGAGACAACCCCTACGTTTTTATTTATTCATTTATTCCAACGAGATGAACTTTACGGAGATTTTAATAGCACACTCTCTGACTTCCATGCGAATCCGCGTAACTTGAGAGCATCCCCCTTTTATTTCTTTTTTTCTGTTTTTTTTGTTGTTGAAATTTTTCCACCCCGTCAACGAGGATCGACAAAGCATTCCCTCTATACACCCCCAAATCGTCGAAGACAAATCCCCTTTTTCGTGGAAATTAATTAGAATACGTGTCGCTAAGTTACGACCTAGTAGTAGTAGTAGTCTAATTATAGGAGAGACGCGTAATTATACGAAATAATAGATACATTAATTCACGTCTAATCGTTTAAACAAAGTAATACGTTCCCCATAACGCGTGTTATATCAATCCCAAAATAAACTATTACAAGCATTATATAATCCAAAATAAACGATAAGCGTTCCGATTGCTCAGGAGAATCCAACGGATTCGAAATAACGCGTTCTCCAGGTGGATAACTCGGATACTCTCGCGGCCGATTCGAAGAATTTTTCCCAACGGCCATTACTCACCGCCTCAACTGCTTACCAATAATGGTTAACCGTAGCCAAGCGAAGCTTTAACTCTCTTTTCCACCTCCTTTTGGGCTAAACGTAGAACAAGGGAAAGTAGAACAACACTCGGAGGTGGAACTCTCTCTTTTTCTCTGGGAATAAATAAGAATTGTAATACACACATAAGAGAAAGAAAATGATAAAAAGAAGTTTTAAACGTTCTTAGATAAGCAATATTTTAAGGAAAAAATTCGAAAATCGATTCCAGGGTAAATGTTATTCGGTAGAATCAAGTTCGAGAACGGATCGATAGTTGTTGTTACTTGGCTCACCGATCGAGTTTCGATTCTTCTCAAGGGATAAGTAAAAAGCTGTAGACTTTGAAAAAAGAAAAAGAAAAAGTAAGGTAAGAGAAGAGAAGAGAAGAGAAGAGAAGAGAAAGAATAAGAAAGGAAAAGATAGAAGTGACCCAGGGGTGATGGCGCACACCTAGTTTTGATTCACCTCATGGCATCCTACCGGTAACGGGGCTGACGGCGCGTAATTGTTCTCTTGTCTGGTTCTCGCACGAAATCCAAACCCCTGCGCCGGTACCCCAGCGATTGCCTTCGCGCCAAGAATGCATAAACAGCCTCCTTTACCGATCCGCAATGCCGCAGAATAGAGTACACTCCTCTTTCCGTTTTCGATAGCGACGTGCGAAGTGTTACTGAAAACTGCCAAGTCACTCTGAAACCCATCACAATGTCGAAATCGTGATACCGAAGATATCGGCCAGAAGACGAAACCTCCAATGACGTTAATGACCATTCCCGTTAACCCCCTACCCCTCCGTCGTTTAAAACTCGATCATTTTTCGACCGGAAATATTTCATTTAGAAAATACTGTAGGGTTTTTAACACTATGCCGTCCGCACGTCTAATCTAGATTCTTTCGTTCAACGCCGTCGGTTTTTTTTAGGTTCCTGAGAGACAATTATTTTCGCATAGTACCAATGTAGAGCCACCGAAATTTACTCAATATTTTTCGCATGGCACCAACGTGGAGCCACCGGCATTCATCCGATTTTTTTCGCATGGCACCAAAGTGGAACCATCGGCATTTATTCGATATTTTTCACATGGCACCAACGTGGAGCCACCGGCATTTATCCGAAATTTTTTGCATGGCACCAACGTGGAGCCAC